AAAAAAAATTACTTGCATGATAATTCGTAAGGTTACGCTAATTACCACGATTAATTGCATTTTTAATTGCAATTACTTGTACGTACACAAATGTAAGTACCTAAATCTAAGAAATGGATTTCCATTTCACTAATTAGTTAGTTAGTAATGCATTTCAACACTGATATGTTTTATATAGAAGTATAACTAGTTTATAAGAACACTCCAATAATAATAATTTGCCTATACATGCATATAAACTATGAATAAATAAATGTGATTATAAATTTTGTATACAATTGTGTCATGCGAGATATTAAGCACTCTTAGTTTCAATCAATTAAAATTTATTCAACTTTCTACCATTTTTATACCTTATATGTACGTACTTAATCCTATTAAATTCATTATGAAAAACAACACACAGTACGCGACTACTGTATACACAATCATAAGAAAGTCAAAATGAAAAATAATCTTATTAATGAAATTTCTAAGATATTTTTCTTACATTTTTACTTTTCTGTTTTATATGTAGTTTTTCTGTTGGGCATCATACAGGAGCAGAAATTGCAATTAGCCTTTATACAGCAGTAAATCTATTTTGTTACAACGAATGATTTTGTGTGCCCGTTTTATAGTTTTTAATACGAAAATAAAGGTATTTAAACATTTTAGAGATATAGAATGAAAAATATGATATAGAAGCAGTAAGTGCCTAAAACTATGTAGAAAGTAACAGAAAAGTATTGAAAAAATTCAACGTTAATGACATTTAATGAAATTGGGACACAAAAGAAAATTTTCATTTCCATTGTTTTTTCTTCAATAGACTTTTGTTCTGAAATATTCAGAAATGGAAACTTTTAAGTATTTTGATTGATTATTGCATGGTCATAATACAAAACATTTAAGTTTTACCTACACACCATTATTGCATCTTTTCATTGCAAATTTTTTCCATTGTATTATTTGAAAGTCCTTCATTCTTTCAAGAATTATTTACGTGAATTAAGGTCACGCGAAATTTTTAAATGTAGGTACGCATAAAGAATTTCTATGAAAAATTACAAACGCTTAAAATTATAAATTATGTATGGAAAAGTAAATGAAGAAAGTAAACTAAGGAAGATTCTATAGGAAAATTGCAATGATTTTTGAGTGAAAGAAAATAAAAAAATTAAGTAGAAATTCATTGTTGACACCATTTTTTTTTAAATCTTATTAAAAAAAATCTTACAAAAGAAAAACAATTTATTTTTATGGGTGCGATCCAAATATGAAGAAAAAAAAAATATATGTAAATTTGAATTATTAAAAAAAATGAATAATTATGACTGAAAAATTAAAAACTTGAAAAAATAAAAAAAAGTCATTAGGCGTTCAGTGGTAAAAGCTTTTGAAGTTTCTTAAAAAACTTGAATAGCTTCAATTTCAGATTATTTAAAAAATTAAAGAAACTATAAATATTCAAGTATAATAAGGTCAACGCGACACTATCTCATATGTTAATATCGTCGAATATCACGGCTTGAAGAGGATCGAATACTACTGTGGTATGCAAAGGAGGAAACGACATTTTGCAAAAGATTCCTGCAGCCTAAACGTGTATTTTTAGATTTGCTAAATTTTATTGAATAGGGTAATCAATCATTCAGATCGCAGCTATTTTTGGGACTATTGTAACAGTCCTCAATCAACTAATTTAAAATGTAAATCGTCAGAAGCTGATAAACTTGTCTTACATGAAAATTTGTGTCATCCCATTTTCGCTCATGTTGTATGAAATGCAAAGTCGGTAGTTAATAAAACCAAGAATTAATTAATTTAAATTTAATTAACTTAAACATTAAAGAAATGCGCTTAGTTGACTAGGCTTAAATGATAATGAATATTGTGGCATGACTTAGTAAGCATTGAAGACTCAATAAATAACTAATATTTTATTTTGACCAATTGACTTTATGTTAATCTATTTTTAAGTTATCCGCCAATTTATTGTTAAATTTCAGACTAAGTACTTTTTTGAAAAGGCTAGACCATTTGTATATTTGCATAATTCAAGACAGACTAAAAAATTAAAATCGCCGCCTCCTGAAATTGCAAGTTTAAATTTTTCTACGAAATTTTATTTAGGAAAATTCTGATACAAGATTGTACTTACTTTTTCTGTTCAAAGCAAAAACCGATTTTAAGACAGCTTAATATAAATAGCGAATAAATTTCCTCAAAACTGTTTTTCTTTTGCAGAAAAAAATTTGATTAGCAGAGCAACCTATAGTTCCTTAATCCATGCCAACATAAACTTGCGCGAGTAGAAATTCAAGAATAGCTAATAAATCAAAAATTAAAAAAAAAATCATTTCCTTTTTTAAACTTCTCTTTCTTATGATTTTTCCCTTTTTTCGTTTATTCTTTCGTTTTTTTACTTTTTGACATTTTTGCCAATTCATTCAGTTGAACATGTCATAAAAATTTAAAAATTCATTTATAATTTTGTTCATTGTACTCGCATGTCCTTATCAAGGTTACAATAAAAATTGTTTAGGTTCTGTAAAGATTTATGTGCGCTTATCTGCATAATATCGCGGCATTTACATGCATAAGTAATGTTGATCTTATGAAGCATGAATGGCATTTCGATTAATATTTGATAATCGTTTTTTACTTTTTGAAATGACGCTTTACAACATCGAAAGATGTGCAACAGAAAAACATGATTAAGTGGAGTAGAAAAAAATTAAAAAAAAAACAGAAAAGATAAAGCGACAATTTTATTTCAGGATCAAAAATAAAAGAGTTTTAAACCGATGAATTCATTTGGCGATCAAGATTAAAAGAAAAAACAAAAAAGGTTTAAAATATGACATTAGTAATTATTTTTAAAAGTAAAAATTTTTATTCAAGTGATTAAATTAAGAAAAACCAAAATGCCATCAACAAATCACGGTTGTTATTAAAAAATAAAATTTAAAGGTATAACTTAGATGCGAAAATGAGGCAGTTTTGCAATTCAATGCCAAATCTGGAACATCCGTATGGATTTTTAATTATGTAGTGTAATTTTATGGATAAAACCGTAAATCAAACTATAAGATTGCACTAAAAGATTCTGAAAAAGACATTCTTCGAACTGATTCTGGCAAATCAGTTTGAATGATTAGTAAAATGTTAAATGTAGTTATATAAAAAGCTTGAATTAGTATTTCCATTCAAATTCTAAATTTTTCCATAAAGAATGAAACAGAATAGCTGAATCAATTGAACGGAATGCTAATACGTAATACAGTACTTTCTAAAATGGCAAACTTTTAATTTCTTATATTTTGCATCCAGGGCTTTTTCATTTCAAATTTTGAACACCTTATGTTTTGCATCATATTTCTCTGAATTATTCGGAAGATATTCATTAAAAGAAAAGTTTGAAAGAATATCTTATTCTTCCGCATATGTTGTTGGTGTAATTACATTCACCTCAATTTACTGGATTTAAAAAACACTTAGAATGTTTTGATATAAAGTCAAGGTTTAACTATGAACCAAAAATTTTCCTATCAAATAAATTATGATAATTATAAAATGAATTTAATAAGATTCAAACTTGAAAAAAGTAAAATCCATTAAAATATTACGAAACCGGCTTTGGATTTATTGAATTGAAAAAAATGTCGAGATTTGGCATTTTTGGCAGTTCGACAAAATCATACAATTTCGATAGTTTCTCAAACTTGTAGCTGTATTTTATTCTAAAAATTTTTGCTAGAAAATAACAATATCGAATGGCTAAAATATTTTTCCATATTGTGAAAGTTTTCATTCATTGAAATTTGCTCGGGCACTCCTTGTATTCAAAAATTCAAACTGCCCTGTTCTTCTACATTACAATAATTTGCATTGTTTATTGTGAATTTCACTCATTAGCAAATCAAGTGTATTGTTGATAGTGTGAGCATAGCGTTTTTTTTAATGCAATTTTCAACTCGAAATTGTACAAAAGCAATAAAACATATTTTTTTAAATCATTTTTCCACTTGTATGATTTTCATTAATTTTTTAAATAAAGTTATAAAAAACGATCAGTGTATTGTACAAGTATTTAATTATTTAAGAAACAAAATGCAAATATTGTTAAAATAACAAAAGAAGAAAAAAATCGAACGATTAAAACATTTTTCAGTAGCAGTCAAGTGAATTAAAATTAAACTCATATAGAGGATTGGCAGGAAATAAATACCATCAATATTGAATCGAACTGAAATTGAATTGCAAGTGAAGAAAGAAATTAAAATCACTAAAAAAAAAGAACTGAATTGAAAGTCAATTTGTTAAATTTTAACTCTTTGGTAAGATTGGGGAAGAAAAAAAAGTACAAAGAGAGGGAGAATTAAATGAAAAAAAATCCAATAAGTGGAACCTATATGAAAAACCTCTCCCAAATCGGAAATACTAGGTAAACATAACAAAAAATTGAAAAACACATAAAACTCAAATACGTGCATGCGTCTATGTTAGATTTGACATACCTTTGTTGTTTCGTCGTACTTCCGTTCATATATTATACCTGCGAATATTACGAGACTCTATTTTTTTAATGCTTGTACTATACTCGCTTTATATTTTCTATGTAACCATTGTCTGTCTTTCAGTATGCAATTCGACTTAATTGTTTTTAATATTAGGTAATAATGAATATCTTGACAGGTGAGTTAATTTGAATTTTTTGTTTTTGGGATTACGTAACTATAACTATAAATATTTTTCTTTTGCATACTATGTCTAATTTTAAATAGTAAAACATACACATACGCAAGTGCAATACAAACGGGTATTGAGAAATATTTTACTGTTTAAAACGTTTACAACACCCATAATATGCCTAAATTAAAGTACATTGACTTATTAAATATTGTTTATGGTGTTTCTTGTGTTATTTATAGTTTCTAAGAAATCTAACAGGTAAGTATTTACATATTACAAATACACAGTAGAACCGTTTGAAAGAAAATTATTTGTGGTATCTATGTTAGCTCTTTAATAAAAAAGAATAGCTAAGTAAATCAATCGATATTTGATTATTAATGCAGGTCAAAATTCATTAGTTATTTAGGTTTTAAGAACATTATTAAATTTAAGGTTCTGTTATTGTTCGATTTTGTATTTGTGTAACTATATATTTCTGTACCGTATATTGTACTTAAATACCTAGAGAGAATATTAGTTGCGTGGTAAATTTTGCATATTTGCTTTATAAAATGGAATAAAATTGTCTTGTAATGGTCTCAATGTACAGTTACATGTTTATTTATAAACTGACTATAAGCGAAAAGTTTTTTTAATAAATATCTAAATTTGTTTATTTAAGTGTTTAGTATAAGGTAATGGCAAAATATGAATACACAAATAACCTCTTTTTTTTAATAGATGTTTTAAAACAAGTAAATCTTTTGTCCGTTGTGAATAAACTTCCTCAAAAGGTCTACTTTTGAAACTAAAAAAAAATAATCTAGTAAAATTATTTACTGATCAATCCGCCAAAATTGACAATACAATACAATTCATCTGATTTTAAATAATGTAATTTATTTTAATCGGAACATCAGGCGGAAAATTATAATATGAAGGAAAATTTTTGTCAATAAGCCAAAAGTTCAAGCAAGATCCTCTTAAATCTTCGAGAAAAATGCTGGTAAAAATTACTAAAGAAACGCCATAAAAATGTTTTACTAGACCCGTTCAGGTATAATTGTTTAAATTAGGTTTAACTGGTTTGGATCAGGTATAATTGTTTAAAAGCTTTATCAGAAAAAAACCTTAACTCCCTTAAAAACCTTAAAGAATAAGAATTCTTGCAAAAACTTGTTCTTTGGAGTGATGAGGATCAATATACTAGGTTTATTACCGTTTTTTATAATGCAAAGGGCGGAAATGTAGAACGCAGAATTTAATTATGAATTTACTAATAATTGCTTATTACACTAATAATATTAATTTAAAGGAAACTTCTTCATGCAACTGCAGAACAGATGGATGACGTAATCAAATAAAAAAGTTAAAGGCCTAAAAATTAAAAAATTTTTTTCCTCGAGCTGGACAGAATTTAACAATAAGCAGGTTATAAAAATTTTTAATGCACGTGTCAGTGTTGTCAAAGTGGAATATTTTTGTGGAAAAATGCATGTTTTTTTTTGAAATTTTCCAATTGAGGTAAGAACGCATATTTTTATTGAAAAATTATTCTACTAAAAAATTTAATATTTTGCTTTTGGTTTTCACTCTAGGAGGAACAGGTACTTAATATTTTTCTAAATAATGTTTTTGTCTTGAAAAAATGTCAAAATGTCACAGTTCAACCTTTTAATATATTTTGGTTTGACAACTGTTTCAATTGACATTTGAATTTCATTAAAAATAATAAAAGCACTCTATTCAGGAAGTAAATTTATTGAAAAAGCTTGTGTACATCTTTGAAATACTTCAAATTTGTTAAACTAATTTAAGATAAGAAATATGAGTTTAATTTTATATAATGTGCTCAAATGGAAACTTAATTGACATGTTATTTTGTTTATTTAGCCCTGAAAGAAGCTATTTTCATTTTTTTACAAGTTAAATATTAAGGCATGTTTTTTGGGTAAAATTAGCATATTTTTTCAAACCATTTTGGCAATACAGGTTTTATTAACTCGAATAGTAATTTGGTTAATGTTCTGTGATTGCGATTAAATAGGTTTTTAATGCTTTTATTTTGAAGAATTTTCATATCCTTCTTTATAGACATGGCCCGAAATACATATGTGCGGAATACATAATTTAATTTTTCTTTTCTTTATACAAGAACAACTAAAATTTCATCAATTGCATTTGAACAATTTTTTTGGTAAGAATGTAAGAAAAATGGTTGAATTTTGATTTAAACTTGGACTACATCCTTGAAATTTCTTTCACTTAAATTTAATGTCATTTAGATTTATTTAAATTTTACGCCGAGCATTTACGCTTGAATTTATTTTTTAGTATTCTAAAGCCAAAATAACGATCATCTCTTACGATTTGGATTCATTTTCTGAAAAGAAAAAATTGTCATAGAAAATTTTAAGATTTTTTACTCGCAGTTATTATTTAATTATTTTCGTTTAGATCTAATAATAATTTTCTCGAAAATATGTGATTTTTACAATAGTTTTAATTTCTACACTAATTAACGACATTTTTCACAATATTTCTAATGACCTATAGTACTTGGTTTCATATTTACGATATATCATACAATTACTACGTTACGATAACAAAAATTTATAAGAAAATTCAAAAAGTAAAAAATAAAATCTTCTGTTAATTAAAATTTTAAACGAAAAACACAAACCTTTCACAAATATTTTGTAATCTTGAATTACAAATTGTAAGATAACAAATAAACACTCACCTGAAAATAAAAGAAAAGAGTTATTTTTATTACAGTTGTACATAAAATGCTTAAATTTATTTTAAAAACAAATAAAAATGTTAATGAAAAATTATGACGACAAACGACACATAACTTTTCTTTTAATTAAATTTAAATTTTTTATTTTTTTGAGAAATTCCAAGCATAAAAATTTTAAATTTCACAAAAAAATATTTTTTAAATCCAATTATGTTTGGTTAATGTTAGTGCCCTCTTTTGGTAGTATTCTGTTTCATACTTTATCATTGCGGTAATTTAAGACTTTTAAAGACAATTTAATTCCTTATTTTAGGACCAGTTGCGGCAATATTAGACTGTTATTACATTAATTTACTGTTGTTTTCCTTAATTTTCTTGGCAAGATGAAACAAAAGCCCTGACAGTTTCTTTAAAAAAAAGATAAAGTTGAAGAAACACCTATACTACATTGTATGTGGTATTGTGATATGACAAAGGAATTCGAAATTCAACTTTCTTTATTTCTTATAATATAATTTTTAGAACTAAGATGAATTTGCTTTAGCCCAATGCCCAACCGAAGATCGAGATATGCAAACAGAGAGTGCTCTATAGTGCTCTATGAAATTCTATAGAATATTGCGATAGCAGACATATAATTTTTATTAAGGTTGCTCTACCTATCTATTTTCATTACTATAAAGAGGATGCTACCATTTAATTGAACTTTATTATAAGCCTGTGCCTAAGTTCGACAAATAGTTGTTGGTCGTTGGCGTTTATGAATTTTTTGAAAGGAATTACCCAAAACGTGTTTAAAATCTAGTTCTTTTATTTTTTTAAAAAGAAAAACAAAAAATAAGTATAAATTGGAATTCTCCTCGTATGTAAATTTTACTCTTTTTAATTTTCATTACTTTGCCATAATAAATAAAACTGAAAACATAAAAAACATTTTCCATAAAATTTTAGAAATGTAATAAAAAAAAAAATCTCAAAAATATTACAAAAAATTACATCACATGTATTTTCCAGCAAAGACGTCATGTAAGTTATTGAGATTTGAAGAAAAAATTGAACCCTCTAGCGAAATTCTAGAGTAATCATTCTGGAGAAAAATCATTTTGAAAATTATATACGTACACACAGAATAATAAAGTAGAAGCTATAAAATGCCAAATAGTTCTTGAAGCATCATAACAAATAAAAAAGTTATTTTTTTTTAACTATTTATGATTACTCTTACATTTTGATGAAAGTCTAGGCATAATCTTAGTTATAATTATTACAAAATGTTGAGAACAAGTTGAGTTTATTATACATAGTTTAAAGCAATAAAACAATTTAATATACGGGAATATATTACAACCATGTTTACATTGTATTATATAACAATTTTGAATTTACAACCTTAAATTTAAAACAATTACGAAAAATCGTTTAAATTCAGAGAAAATTATGCGAGAAATAAATAAAACAATTTGATTTTATTGAAACTGTAATTCAAAGTAAGTTTAAAGAATGTCTGCTCAAGAAGTTTGAGTTAAATTGTTGATATTTTTTAAAATTAAATTCAATTCTTCATGAAACTCGACCATGTTTGGAAGAACTCATTTAAATTCTTGCTCTTTATATCCCTACATAGTGTGAAAAGTCACAGAATGACCTTAAGTTACAGAGCAATGCATTGTTATGCATTCTTTTAATTTCGACGCCCATAAGTATGCAATATTATTATTCTAACTTGTAAAACACGAGAATAATTTCCTTCTCAGAGTCTCTTGGCAGGATTTGAGCTATTGTTTTAAACAACTTCGTTAGAAAATCTGAAACCCATTTTAATTGAAATGAATTTTTCGATTATAAGCCCTTTCAATTAATTGAATTGGAACTAAAGACTTTTTAATTGATTGTAAATTCTACGTGTCATTTCTAAATAAAGAAACATCAAATAAATAAGACAAATTTGAGTTAATTATAAAAAAAAGCGTTTTAGGCGTGAGTAAGTTTGAGATATCAAAATCGTGACTGAAAAAAGCGGAAGCATTTAGTAAAAAAGGTGATATAAAAAAAAAATCATAGGGTTTAATTTAAACCCTTTAACAATTGGGCGAAATTATTAAGCTCCATGACGCCATGAGCAACATTAAATTAATCCCTCCAAACAATTTTAAATACTTCTTATTTTGTTTTTATTTAATTACCATTTTGCTTACTTTATGTACATAGGCAAAGTAAAATTCACACCAACCAGTCAACATTAACTATTATGCAATAATTGGATTATGTTCTTATAAAAAGTGTGCACATAAACATGATTTTGTCACTGATGTTTACATGAAATTTAAAGAAAAAAAAATAAGCGATACTTTGTAACATTTCAAATTATTTGTCTCTATTTATTGAAGAAGAATATGGAGGAAAAATGAAGGTTATAAGGTAAAGAGCTTAAATTGTATATAAATAAATTAAAATTGCATAAGTGTAGTGTAACTATCGTATATTGACGAAATGAACATATTGTAAGTATTTAAAATCAAAGTTTAAGACGTATGGCTTAAAAAATTTAGAAAATTTCTTACTTAAGGTTTAAAAATTCTTGCGAACGTTGTTATTGAAGCGCTTATTTTATAAAGACTAGAGACTTGAAACTTACTGCATGTATCTTCTAGGTCTAAATTTAAATTCTCGTCCTCTTATCTATTTAACTGAAATTGTAAGCTTTTCTAAAAACATTTCTATGAAAGCAAAAAGCTGACGGTAAATGTCTCGGCATTAATAAATCTAATTGTTTGCCTTAAGTTACTTAATTAATTGTCAAATTGAACCATTATAGGATACTTCTTTTAGCTTTTGCTCTTATCCTAAAAATATATAGTGATTATCTACAGCACAACATAATGAGAATATATTTTGAGTAAAACATTGTTCAATATTCAAGCAATTTATTGAACATCATTTGATCAAGGAAACAAATTACTTAATAGCTTACTATTTAACAAACTACAATCTGGTCTTATTAAAATAAGGAAAACTCTAGCAATTATTATCATATGAGTTCGCTCTTCTAAAATTATGCCATAGAAGAGCATAATGTAATTATAAAAGAAAAGCTGAAATTGAGCAATGATTATGAAGAATTTGTGCCTACGTTATGGGAGAACTGAGTAATTTGTTGCGAACTTATTCAATTTTTTTGACCGAAATCTCGAATCAACTAAAAAAACTCGAAAACTCGAATCAACACTAAACTATGCATTATTATTATATTAAATAATTTATATAAACGGAACCACAAATTTTTTAAATATAAAGAAATTACAATTCACTTTTGCAGTTCCAAAAAAAAGATTTGCTATTTTCACACAATTAAACACAAGTAAATTTGACATTTGAATTTCACACAATTTCACGAACCGCCGGGTATATCGTAGCCTCTTATGAAACAATTACGTATGCATAGAATAAATTCTATGCTATATTGTGACACTATCATCCTTTAAATGAATTTAAAACTTTAATATTTTTGTGACGGCATTTAAGTAATTTGTTTTTTAATAATTTTTCTCTTTTCTCTTTTTTTTTAACAAAACAGGTTTGTAATCATTTGTATTTATTATGGATAATTAAGATAATTCTTGTTTATTTTTTTACGCCTCTATCTGTCAACTTAATATCACCGTATCGTACGCTGACATTGAATAAAAAATATTTAAAACTAAAATAAAATAATTTTTCTCAAGATGGGCCCATATATTTCTAAGCAAAATCTAAGAAAAAACATAAAAAGAATTAAGAAAATTAATACTTTTAATACAATATTGAAGATGTTAACAGACTTACATAAGATACACAAACATTATTTTTCAATCTCACTGTTTGGAATGTAAAACAGATGGTTTTTTTTGAAAAATGTAAAGAGGTCTACAATTTGTAAATTTATACCCACTCTATCTGTAAATGGTCCTATATGCATGTGTATTTGGATATGTGCATAATATTTATGTATAAAACTAATACAACAAATCGTATATTAGGCACCTGCCCCAAAGTGATAAAATTCTTAAAATGGCATTTTCTTAAAAATTAAAGAAAATAGAAAAAAGCAGACTTTACTTGGAACTTTTGTGTAATGTTTCTACATTTTTGTTGTTGATTTTTTTTGTTGCTTGTAAGTACTTTTGGTTATCTTCTTGTATATGTAAAGAAGATGTTAAGGAAAAAAATTGCCTTAGGTTCAAAAGTGTGATTTCAGTATCCAAACGTCAAAATGTTTGCTTTCTATTTTAATTTTTTTTTTTAATTTTTCTGTGTGCCATTTATAATCTATAATAGTGCCTCAGAGATTTTTTAGCGCATTTTTGTTTTTGTATTTGTTTTGTTAGAGAAGAGCTCAAAACTCACAAATTCACTAATGCTAATTCTTCAAATTGTATATTTACTTTTTTTTTGAAATATATGAGCTGACTATAAATTAAAGTTCAGCAGGGAGGAAAATAATTATATATTTTGTGCATATACACACATACTTTATTTGTATACGAGTATACAGCGAATTTAGAGCTCATAACATTCAAAACATTTTTCATTTTTCATATAAAAAATAAATATGAAGTTAAGAAAACATTTTGCCTTTATAGTTTTGTTATACATAAAAATTTTTGTTATATTTGTCTAAGAGTACAAGGTTTGTTTTAAGGTTTTGGAACGTTTATAGAATGGTGAGTAACGAAATTTTAAAAACAATCAAAATTTGAAAAAAAAATAATAAAGGTTCTTTATTATAATACTAGTGTACTGTTAGAACGTTATGTAATATTTACATTTAATTTTAAAAATATAAAAAATGTATAAAGAGACGTGGGTTTTTGTATCAAAACATTACACCAAAAAGATTTTGTAAATTTTAATCGTGTACTCAAAATATGTTCCGAAACGTATTGTAGTTGTAGTATGTAGCATTAATATGTAGTTGTATCTGCATACTTAAGCATGTACCTATAGTTTTGCAAGCACAAATA